ATTCCCCTTGACTCCAATAGGACAATGTATGCAAGATACACTTGACCGGACTGTAAATCTTTAGTAGAGAGAGTTTGATGCTTCTGGATTATCTGCACTGTCCATAAACAGAAGGAAAACATACAAAATCACCAAACATTAATGGCAACTGGCAACAAGCTAATACTTTCCCATAGGAGTTTTCAAGTCATTATAACTGAATATTATTAGGATTTTCAGTTTTTGCTTCGATTTAATTATCTAGATTCCTGTATATTATGGGCTGATATTAAAAATAATCCAGGTTTATCAGATTTAGATCCCCTCTGGAACATGAAAGTCATTCTTGCTTAATATTATGTCTGTAGTTCAAGGATGGATTTTAACCTGTCTGGCTGTAATTTACTGAATTCTATATGTTACCCTGACTAAGTGTGAATTAATTTTTAATATGTAATGTAGGCTGGTGAATTCCTACTGAATTATAAGACTTCACAACTTGTTGGCCCATTACTAATACTGGATTTTTAATTTATTAGATTATCTTTGTGTTAAGTACTATGTATGTTTCAGAAGGTAATACTCAGAATTTAGACCACGCGTTTTCTCATTTAGCAGCTTGTAGAGAACCATTGATCTGTGTGAAGAAAGGGTAAATTTAAGAAAATATAGTTGCTTTTGTAACAACGTGGTTCTATAGAAATTCATTTTAAATTAGTTTTCTAAGGTACCTGTAGTAGAAAGACACTTTCCTCAAACTATTAACAATGAGAATTGGAGGGCTGGTTTAAAATCCAATCCAAATTCTGTATCGTTCTGTGCAATATTTCCATTAAATCTAATTAATGTCCAGAAATAAAAAACAAATTTATTTTTTGTTCTCTTTGCAAGTTGTTCTAGTAAACAAGGCATGTGTATCCTTTTGTGTTGTCTTTTAAAGCCAGTACTCCACCAGACTGATTACTGCATTGTGGTGTATTTGTAATTTAGAACTACTCTAGTCAGGAACAGAAAGGTTAAAGAAAGTGAATGAAAGATTGCAAATCTTTAAAAGCAATGACCTAATAGTTATTTTACATCACTTTGTGATCAGTTTGTTAAATACACTATTAAAAAAAAGAATATATATGTGTACTGATATGAAGAATCAGCTGAATTAATGCAGTACGTGAAAAAAACAAGTGCTCATCTATATTTTTTTTCCTATCCTTGTGTTTTGTCCCTTCTTAGCAAAATCAAAAAGAGAGATACCACTGTTCTTTCAAAAGATTTAAGGGTTAATATATTGACAGCCCTGATTTTTGACCTAGGAGTGTACTAACCATAATTTGAAGTGTAGCCAAAGAAAAATAAAGTTGACATGTCACCCATGGTAAACACTAGATGTTATTCATAGTGGTGCTGCAGAAGGTATCTGTAGGATATTGTATAGTGACTACTACAAAGATCTCATAAAGGCTGGAGATAAGAGGCACTGAGACTGCAGATTAAAAAAATCATGTAATAATAAAAAGAGCTTCTCCGGCTCATCTTGGTTATATTTAAAATGTCTTTTATATGTATTGGATTTATACTGATTGAAAACTCACCACCTCTTTTATGTGGCTGAATAGTTAAGTCTGATAATATTAGTCTGGGCCCATAGACTTAAAAGATAGAGAAACACATTGTTAAACCTATGATATGCTTGCAGTATTGAACCAGCATAACCTGATCTGTCATTGAAGTCTCCAAAAGTGTTGTAAATGAAATAGATTGCCATCATAAGATGTTCACAGGAGCTGTTCAATATGGAAAGTAAACATAGGTCTGCTTTGCTTTCTGTCATTCTTCAAGCTGTCTGAGAGCAAAACAAATCTCTGGAATGCTTTGGTGGTTATAAAGTAGGAAATGTGCCAGTAGAATAAACCTGATTAACAAGTTTTGTAAGAAATCCTAAAATGTCAGTTAAACATGATGCAGAATCGTAAATGCAAGTCACCAGTATTATCGTATGCTATTTAGAAAAGCAAAAATAGTCAATAAATCATGCAGTTGATTACTGTACTCATTCATCTGTGGATTGCTGGGGCACTAGCAATGTAGTTGAGTCTTGAAGGTTTGTTATTGTTTAGATCACATTGTAAAATTTATTGATTATCCACATGCAGCATGATTTATTATTTCATCTAATATTTGTGCTCTTAGTAATAGGATACTGCAGCCATGGATTGTAACAGACATTTTAGATCACATACTTTATGGTTCTCATCTAGGAAAAAGTAATAATAAAAAATTGAGAAGGGTCATAAAAACCTTCTTCATATCATTCTAAAGAAATTCTTATAACATCATTATTTTACTAATATTACCTACTTTAACAAATTTCTTTTGAGGCATTGGCAAAATTTGTGCAAAAGACTGAATCTACAGTTACAAAACCAGCCATTTTCATAGGAGGTTTTAATATTCTTCACACTTTATTATTTTAAGCCATCTAATCCAAGAATCGATTTGACTTAAAGTTTTGTCTTTGTTATTCTGCCTGCTCAAAGGTTTTATATGAAGGGTTCTTGAGTCAGTGATAGCTGGGTATCTAGTTCAGTTGTCTAGGCACAGCCATCTAGTACCAGCTTAAGGGCAAAAGATCCACACAAAGCTTGCAGGTGTGACACAGGACCTTCAGAATACCCATGCCCTTCCAGACAGGCAGATAAACAGGGTCTACCATTGAAAATGAATTAAACACTCTTAGACCCCTAAATAAAGCCTCCATAGTAGGATTGTACTTCCTTTGCATTCCTTGTTCCTTCCAATAGAAATGAGACATAATGTGCAGTAGGATACTAAGGGCTATAATTTAGCTGTCCATGTATATGTGCCTCCCATGTGAGCTAGGTATCCAGACTGCCTTTAGAAATGGTGGAGATTGCATCCTTGGGTTCCTCCACCTTAAAGTGGGCATCTTGATCAATCTCAGATGCCCTGTCTGATACGTTATGTCTCAGCGGCTGCTCCGGAAGGACTTGGGTCTCCGATACCCATGTGCACCACTACAAACACGGGTGCAGTGCAGGTGTCTCAGGTTCAATCTGGCACGAGGTGCTGAGGTTGAGCAAAGCCACGGAGCCAGCGGTGATGCAGGCAGCTGTGGTCTGCAGAGTTAACTCAGCTAGCATATCTGCACGTCAGCTCGTGGGATAAACTGAAGAGGCTTTGCTGCATTGAACAGGTCTCTGTCGGTGGGAGCCTAGCTCCGTGCAGGTTCCTGACTTCAGGAGTCTGACTTTTGAAACAAAACAAACCCTTTGCTGAATCACTGCGATATTTGGCACGTATGAATGGTTATAGTGAAATTTGCCTTAGAAGAGATGCACGTATGTATATGCACTTTCCTACTCTCCTGTGTGCAGTCAACACTTTTTCTTACTTATGTGAATGTTAGAGGAATAGCAAAGAGAGAGAGATAGCAAAATCAGTCTTAAGAAGGATGTGAAATATGCAACTAAGAGTTCATAGATAGTAAATAGCAGAGGAATTGAGGTAATGAATGTTTTATAAGCATGTATCTCATTTTTATTGGAGAAAACAATGCTTAGAAAGTATAAGCAGATTATTTTAATATGTCTTCTCTGTGCTCTTTTCACAAAGTGTACAGTTTCAAACCCACTGAAGTCAATGAGAATCATTTCACTGACATGAACAAGCTTTTTATCGGAATATATGACATTTATGCACAGACGTATTAAAGATGTAATAGCTGGTCTTGTTTATTATATTGAAATTATTCTGAGTTTTCTACTATTCCTTTCAGTCAGTGACTTAACATCAAACTTCAGATTGATTCAGTAATTGCCTAACATAGTTTGACAGTATTTAATTCTGCCTATTTTTAACTTTTCTGTTTGGACAGTATTACCTGTACTTCATACTTTTCCTCACTTTATAGAGTCCCATTAAAAAAAATAAATATGAAAAAATAAATACATGAACACTTGTAAAGCTTGAATGAATAAGTTACTGAGTCATAACCATCCAACAGATAAAATGGGTTAATACTTGTAATAGGTGTTTATGTTTTTTTATTCTCAACACTAAGGTAAGTTTCTTTTTGATCTATATATTGTTCCTTTGCCTTTCCTGAAGTGCAAGCTTCTCAGGCAGATCTAGGAAATTCCTCAGTGGAAACATGCTTTTCTGTTTTGAAAACCAGCTTTTTTCCTTACCTGCAAATTCTAGATCAAGGCAGGAGAGAATACCTCTCCAGTATACTTTAACTATTTTATTAAAAACTACTCAGTGTAGTTAAGGATTGCCACCTAACACATGAAACAAAGTTTATCCATTCAGGCCTTGCCGGTTATGCAGATCTTGAGGCTTAGAGAGGGTGTATCCATCACAGTGCCCGAGGAGAGCAATTCTGCACCTTCCAGCACTTTGCTTGACCACAGCAATTGCCAGACCAAACAACATTGTTTAAAAGTATGTTCTCATGTGTGTTTGGTACACCTCCTTCCTTTAGAAGACAAGAAGACAAAACTGATCTTTTAAAAGTTAAGTTTTAATGGAAAGGAAAAGTTGTTTAAATTGATTAATGTTACTTTTGCCCATCCATTTAGGATGGTAAGAGGAATGAATGACTTGGAGTAGAGTGACTGAGAGCATTTAACTTTCTATTGCAGCTTGCAAAATGATTCATGAAATGAGAGAGCTTATGTATGTAAACGTAGACAGATACAGTAGGGCTTTATTGTATTTTGTAACTTACAACTGATTTCCTTTTCTATTTTTTTAGACTGTGTTTAATATATCCTGCCAAGAAAACATATAGATTATTAATTCTGTTGCAATACTACTTGTAAGGTATTTTCCTAGATGCAAAAGAGTTACCACAGCTTGTGAGAAGTTTGTCTCTTCATAAATTCTAATGCAAAAATGCCTTTGGGATAAATGTAACATGTCCTGATCTAATTGTTTTAAGGTCTTATTCTAATTTCTTATTCACTAAACCTTAAAAATAATGGACTTCTTATTTATTACAGAAACCTTTGAAGTGCTTATCAGACTGGCCAAGAATTACACAAGCACGCTTTTCTGCAATGCATATAGAAACATGGCTGCTGAGGCTACTACACATGTTCAGGAGTTTTTCACAGATGTTGGACTCTTCATATTTGGCACAGACGTTAGCACAGCAGAATTTGTCAACAGATTTTTTGATACCCTGTTCCCAGTAGTCTACAACTACGTGATTAACCCTGGTCTGACTGACATTTCACTGGAATATGCGGAGTGCCTCCGAATTGCGAGAAGAGACATCAGGCCCTTTGGTAATGTTCCCAAAAAGGCCATAGGACAAATGGGAAGATCACTGTTATCCAGCCGGACTTTCTTGCAGGCTCTGAATTTGGGGGTTGAAGTGATCAATACAACAGATCATCTGCATTTCTCTAAAGACTGCAGCAGAGCTTTACTGAGGATGCAGTACTGCCCCCATTGCCAAGGGCTGACTTTAAGTAAGCCCTGTATGGGCTACTGCCTCAACGTCATCCGAGGCTGCTTAGCTAATGTGGCAGAAATTGATCTTCATTGGCGGGGATATATTCAGTCCCTGGAGGAGCTCTCAAGTGCTATGAGTGGGACATACGACATCGAGCACGTGCTTCTGAACTTTCATACACTCGTCAATGATGCTCTCGTTCAGGCTCGTACCAGTGGGCCAGCGTTGTCTGAGCAGGTAAGCAGCTGTTTTTATCCATGCTCGATGCAAACACAACACTAAGAAAAGTAACACTGATAACTCTTCCTTGTTTGGCCATTTTTATGGTGATGAACACATTTGTATCCAAGTTAAGCTTTATTTGACAATGCATTTTTCCAGCACTGCCAGGTTTTATTTTAATCATGCAAATGACCTGCTAATTTCCCATATCCTATTCACAAGTTCAACATCAAGTGGAGATTAAGCATTTTGGCAGTACTTACAGTAGAACCTTTTCAAAATGAAAGAATTGTTGTGTGGAATTTATCTTTTCTCATTTCCAGTGAAACCATAGTTTTTTCCAGGTTTTTGCCGAGTGAAAATTTTTATTGAACAATCCAGTGGAACCTTCTATTCCTTCACCATTTTTATTTAGAAGTTAACATTTTTAGCAGATGCACTGAATAGCTTTAGGTTTAACTTTACAACTGCGTCTGTTAGGCTCTGCTGAACAAGGGTAAACAATGGAATATTAAGTTTGGAAGCTTAACATATTAACAAAAGGAGAGTATAATTTCACAAATATTCTATAAAAACAGAATAATACGATATTTGTGTAAATGAGTGCTAAATCTGAGCAACAATATTTGTTTGCAAACTGTAATCTTTTTGTACAACATACTGAGAACAATTTTTGGGAGCACAAAAAAATGTCATTCATGAATGTAAGAAAGTTGTTTAATGACTTCGTTGTTATCTTATGTGCACATAATGATAAATTTAAACAATCCTTCTTTTAGATACTAGTGTCCTGTATTAAACAGCCTATGACTTCACATATATTATTTGCATAATTTTTTAAGTTTCAGAGAAAGTGGCACAGTTCATTTGTAACATGAACTAAGTCCTTCCTTATATATACTTAAGAGAAAAAGCAAGTTATGTGAGAGCTATGTTAGCTGTGAATGCATGAAGTGGGAATTTTAAGATACTGTTAGGGAAAATGCACTTTAGTTACCTACACATCAGAAAGAAAGCTAGTATATCTGCAAATTTATGGAGGTTATGTATATAACAAAATTTGAATTATTCCTGTGTTATATTTAATCCACAGTATATTTTATAATTGTATTTTTCTCTCTATTCTTGCATGCAGACTTCACTGACAGTGATATATTCTGTGTTTAATGCTGGATTGGATATCTTGGTCTGGGGAGATGCCTTTAGTTTTACAGTATACACAGGTCTAAACAGGGTGTCTGGGCGCCATTGTGGTGTGACATCAGCAGAGGTGCAGTAATACTTCTAGGAGTGCCAGCCTTCCTCTTTACATGACTGGCTGAAGTTAAAGCAGCATCTTCAGCTAAGCGGCTGATATGACTTCTGTCAATAAGCAACTTGACCTAATATAATAAATAGAGGATTCTTCATTTCTTACTAAGACCCACAGTCTTATTAAAATGAGTTCTTCATCCTGCTTGTAGTCAGTGAGTGACATGGAAGTGTCCCATTTCTATGAATTTCCCATTTTATGTGCTTTATACCAGACAGCTATATTAGCCAGAGTCTCCTGCTGCTGAACTTCCTTGAGAAAAACTGTGGGTTTTTTTTAAAAAGGTTTTCCACTAGCAGTTTGGCTCAAAAGTGGCTTACTGATGTCTGTCTAATTCCTATTATGTTTCAGAGGTACAGTTGCCTTTTAGGGATATTCCCTGTTCCTCCTCAGATTTTTGAGGGATCTTTTTTGGCTACAATTTTCAAGAACAAGCTAGAATAAGAAAGTAAAGACTCAATGGAAGGAATTCTGTTTCCTGTTTCATCCAGGGTCAATTAGTCTGAGAAATTTTAAAGTTGGGTATTCAACAGTTAACCATCATTGGCCCAGACTTTAAAGTCTCTGAGCACACTCATGTTTTCAAAATGAAAGCTTTTACACTCCAAAATAATATATTTCACTCAATTTTAGTAAAAAATTAAGTGGGTAAAAAGCCATCCACCCAGTTGTTTGGCTTAATGAAAATTTCAGATTGATCCAAAATAAAATGCTTTATTTTGATATTCCTAAAATCCCTCATGCCTTTCTTCTCTCCTTCCCTCCTATGATGTAAGGAATTGTCACACTTTGAGCCTGGTCAGCAGCCAACCACCACACAGTGGCTCTCTCTCCCTTCCCCTCCGGCAATGAGAAGGGACAGAGAGCCAGGCTTGGGGTTCGAGATAGGACTGGGATGGGGAAAAATCCCCCTTTATGATCACGAGCAAAAGGCAGACTCGTTAGGGGAAGAAAAAAAAGAACATACATTTATTACAGACACTAACAACACATAACAGAGTAGGACAGTGAGAAGCATTGCCACATCTTGAGAACACCTTCCCCCCACCCCTCCCTTCTTCCCGGGCTCAGCTCTGCTCCCGATATCTCTACCTCCTCCCCCAGTGGCGCAGGGGCAGGGAATAGGGGGTGCAGTCAGTGCTGCCACTTCCTTTATCTTCAGTGGAGGGAGCTTCTGGAACTTGTTCCCCCTGCTCCATTGTGGTCCCCCTCTCACAGGAGACAGTCCTCCACAAACTTTCTCCGATGTGAGTCCCTCCCATGGGCCGCAGCGTTCCCCACACTGCTCTGTCATGGGTCACTAACTTCCTCCGACTGGATTCCCTCCCACGGCTGCAGCCCTTCCCGAGCTGCTCCGACGTGGGACTCCCCCACATGCTGCAGTCCTCCCAGTGCTGCATTGCAGCAGCGGGGCTACCTTTTCCCATGAGACCCTGGCCTTCTTTGGGCACAGAACCTTGATCAACCAGGAGAAAAACACAGGCCATAAATCAATGTCTGCTCCACCATAGATCTTCATGGGTGGCAGTGGGGGGCTGCCCTGCCATCTCCCCACAGGATACAGGGGGGTCTCTGCTCCGGCACACCTCCCCCCTCCTTTCTTCCTCCGTTCCTCCACTGACCTTGGTGTTCATGCAGCTGCAGCAACTCTTCCTCACAAGTCCGACTGCTCGTCACCACGTCCCTTCTTAAATACGTTATCACAGAGGCGCAGCTGATTGGCTCAATTTCCCAAACAGAAGTGGAGCTGACGTGGAGCTGGGGGAGCTTCGAGAAGCTTCTCACAGGGGGCCGCCCCGATAGCCCCCTCCCCTGCTACCAAAAAACCCCACCACTCACTCAACCCCAGGACAGGAATACTAAAATTTCTTATGCAATGATATTTTGTACCAATGTATGTGTTAGAAAACCAAGTGTTTACTTCTGTTAAGATCTTCTCGTATAGAATCACTTCCAAACTTTAAAAACTAAGTATTTAATTTTTCACTCAATCTGCATCAGACCTATGCATTTAGACGAATCTTTCACTTGATCTCTATGTTATAATCGACCAGTCCTTTCTCTCACTGATCTATGGCGTGGTCAAATAAGACTGTGATGCATTGATCCCTTGGAACACAGAGATCTAGTCAGTCAGTTCTGATTTGCTGAGCATGGCTTGAGTATATTTCATATTTGCCCATACCTTAGGTATCACTTGATGTGTAATAAATACAGTATTTCAGCTTTAAGAGGCAGAGGACATGAATTTTGTTGAAATTGGCTCATTAATATTTATTTATTTTATCTTCAGAGTGACTCATGAACTGTTTCAAATTTTGATAAGCAATTAATGCATCAGTGATTCTAACAGACACAGAAGAGATGATTATGAGCCAGCAAATAATGGCTTGCTTAGGCACACGGCAGTCTCTGCAGTTTTAAAAGTGATTTTCATCACAGTAAGTACTTTAATGAGTTTTAAAGAAGCAGACAGAGAAAAATAATATTTAAATATTTGGAGGTATGATATATGCATATACAAATACTAATATGATAATCAACCAAGTATCCTGCTTAGTGGTACATGTATTTGTACAGCTCTTTATCTAATCATGTGTGTGTTTGTGTAAATAACTATGTAAAGGAGTTTTTTCTAACATGTTGCATGGATATATTTAAATCTAATATTCATACTTTAAGCTCTGTGTGATGTAGAAAGACCACTAATGCCTATATAATATGTCATCCTTTTATAAAACTTTCTTCCAGTATTTACAACTCGTTCTTTTTTCTGTTTGGGTTAGCAAATCAGTGCCACACTGTCTCCAGTTGTTATTTCCATTTCCCTTTCTTCTTCCTGTTTCGAATTCACACTTCTAATTCTTGCCTCTCACAGCTCTGCTGACTAATAAATAAATGCATCACCCATTCATCATCTCTATAGCCAGACATTATTCTGTGCTGTTCTGAAGAATCTAGTGGCGATACGTGGGTTGTACAACTATTCACATATTTATTTATGTTCACATATATATATATAGACAGACGTATATTTAATGACATTTCTGTCCTGTGTTCCTGAAGTCTATATATGTCCATTTATGCACTGTTTATGCTCAGTGCATAGTGGACCCTATGTTTTTTAGCTGGTAGGAGATGGAACAGAATTTTTTTAGCAGACTTCAGTGTGTATGGTCATGCAGATACAATTTAATAGAGGTTTAAGAGAGTTGGGTGATACAAAACAAGAACAGTATTAATTGTTAAGCTAATCCGAGAAACATGATCTGTAGTTCTTAAGCATTGGATCACAGGTTAAAATGCTTATTGCTACAAAGGACCTTATAGATTCATCCTGTGCTTCTCTTTGTGCTCAGCCTGAGTTGCCACATGCTGGTCTCTGAGCTTGCATATAGCCAGGGAAATCCCCACTGCCAGCAACTGTGCAGGCTAATGAATGCTCCAGCACTTTGCAGCACATTTAAGCCTTATTTGAGGAAAAACAAATGAACAAATAAAAAACCCATGAAAACTTGTTTACAAGTTGTAATAAATTGTTTCGTGTTACCTCCATTCTGTTATCCTAGCCACTGTCAATGTCATGACAGAAGGACAAAGAGAGATTTTAGCAAGATTTACGAAGCTTTGGTGTGGATGGAGCCTACTATCCCCACCATGAGTTTCTTTCCGTTCCCTTTTTGCATGGGTTAATGGCACGGCC